TACTCTCTTGATTCCTCAGCTACATCACTGAATGAATGGCTGGGACATGCTTCAGGTGACTCAGCTTCTGTAAGGTTCTGAAAGATGGGACCCCTCTTTTCCCAGGGACCAGGAGGCATGGTTATACCTCAAGGATAAGGTCCCTGTCAGTAGGCTACCTCAGATTTTACCCTTGCCACAAAGTCTGCTGCTTTCATTCACCACAAACCAAGATCCTGACAATCCAAGAAACATGAAGCCGTGAAGACAAGCTGAGAAGCTGCTTCTCTCTCCAGCGAAACATGGGCCACTTTGATCACCAGGTGACCTAGGGCTGCTATACTTACTGGGAATGGGCACATTTGCCACAGGAGAACCCAGGAGTCCTTCCTGGGGACAACTTCCTGATAGAGGTGAGGTGGAGTGGAGCTGGTCTTTAAAAACCCAGTGGGCCTTCCAAGTATCCAAAGAGGAACTAGAGGGTGGGTTCAATTTAGGGCATACCCATCATCTACCTGGTTCTGAGGTTTGTGCTGAAACACCAGGGAAAGAATAGGAAGGAAGTAGGACATCAACTTAAAATTAGCTGAGGACCCTCTCTTTTAAGGACATGACGACAAGAGGGACCAGAAAGGCCCAGTGTGAGAAGCCATGGCCATTGCTTAAGAGCGTTGCTTAAGGCAACTAGGAAATTGTCCTCGAGCAGCCAGGACTGTGAACATGTGTCCAGAGGGAGCTGCTCAAGGGCCCCTTGCCTGAGTTCCTCCTCCCTCAGCAGGCAAGGCCAGGTGGCTTACGTAGACAGAGTGGTTTAGTCACTCTTGGACAATGAAGGAAACTGGCTGGAGGAGCCAGACAGGGCTGACTGAGCTCTGCTGAAATCTGCTGCTGGGCCTGACCCTTGGTCTGGCTTCCTATAGCTCCACATGAGGATGGGACAGCTCTGGGACACCTTCCCCTTGCCACTGCTGCTCCAAGTGCCCAAGGAAGGAGTCAGCAGCAAGAAGCCTGCAGTGTCCTTGCCTTTCACATCATGGGTTTCTTTTAGTTTTCAGTGTCACCCAAGAAATGTGAGCTCTGTGACACTGGGGTCCCTCATGTGGCAACCCTGGAACATGTCAAGTTCAGTGTGTGCAGCGGCAGTGACTTTTGAAGGCAATGATGCAAAATCCCTGGGAATGAGCTTTTGTTTCGCATGTGAGCAACCAGGGAAGGCAAATGCATTTGTCTTTGAAACAGAATCCCTGATACACTCCTGCTGCAGGGACAAACAATCTTGAGTGACAATTCCCATCTTTTTGGTGTTTCTGAAAAGATGTCTGGCCTCTGAGTCAGGAGCATTCCCCAATACTGGCAGTCAAGACTGTATTTCAAGGATTTTTTTTTTCCAGCCAGTTCCACCTTTCTTATCATACCATTGCCAACCTTTCAGTATGCAAATAACTACTTTCAGAGTATAATCAGCACACCTGTAGAATGCAATTCTTTAATATAGATGTATGTTGGGATTTCTGACCCATGCTATTATATTTAAATTTCTTTTTCTTTTTAAAATTTTTATTGTAAAGGCGGATATACAGAGAGGAAGATCTTCCATCTGATGATTCACTCCCCAAGTGAGCGCAACGGCTGATGCTATGCCGATCCAAAGCCAGGAGCCTCTTCCGGGTCTCCCACGCGGGTGCAGGGTCCCAAAGCTTTGGGCTGTCCTCGACTGCTTTCCCAGGCCACAGGCAGGGAGCTGGATGGGAAGCGGGGCCGCAGGGATTAGAACCAGCGTGCATATGGGATCCCGGGCGTGCAAGGCGAGGACCTCAACCACTGAGCCATCACACTGGTCCCCTATATTTAAATTTTAATTGCTTTGCCCAGATCAGGTCAAATAATATTACCATTACTCTTGATGGTATGTCCTATAGTCTCTTTAAGTTCCCCTTTCCCCCAGAAATCTCTTTGGTAAGCAAGCCAGTCTTCTGTGTTATAAAATTTCCAAACTGGGGTTTTCTGTGTGCATTTCCAGAAGGCTGGTAATGTGATTCTGATAGGTCCGGATGGGTTCCTACTCATGTTTAGGGCTGCTTTGTACTCAAAGTGCAGAAATAAATTTTACTATTTTGAGAGGAATTACATCATGAGTTCATACTGATTTCCAATTCAAAGTTAGCATTGCTAAACATCTATTTTTATTCAATCATGCTATTTTCTATGAAAAAAAAACTATTCTTATAAGTTGAAAATATTCATTCTTAGGAACTTAAGCATAGTTATTTGTTTTATCCTTCTTGTGTGTTTATATACATATATACCTATACATATACACATATGTACATTCAGCATAGTAAAACTAGTATTACCAACATAAATGGCAAATTTAAGATTTGTAATTGTTTTTATCCTTAGGATACATCTTCCAAAGGATTAAAATCAAATGATTGCAGATACAACTTACTTATTTTCATCTTATTTGCAAGATAAACACAGAGAGAGATTCTTTCCATTTACTGGTTCACTTTTCAACTGCCTGCAACAGGTCGGGCAAAGCCAGAGCAAAACCAGAAGCCAGGAACACAAGCCAGGTCTCAGGGGCTGGCAGGGACCCAAGGACCATCACCTGTCACCTCCCAGGACCCACAAGGAGAAGAGAGCTGGAATCAGAAATGGAGCCAGGACTCAAATTCAGACCCTGAGTATGGGATACAGGCACCCAGGTGTCACGCAGCTGCAGGTTCTAAATTGTGGAAAGTGTATCGGGGACAGGGACCAAGATTCTGACAGGGAACTTTGACAATATCTAACGCAGGGCCATCTTGGGTGCTTTTCCTGCCAGAAGGCCCCCAAGATCACAGAGGGCGTGAGGCAACAGTGTTCTCTGGTCAGAAGAACCATCGGAGACAGTCTGATGGAGCAATTCTGTAAACTTTAAAGCGAACACAATTTGTATAGACTAGGAAACAGGAAGGCAGAAGAGTGTTCCCCAACAGTCCTCCCACCCAACAATGGCACTGTAACTGGCTAAAAAACATGTCTAGCTCTCTAGATCCTCCCACAAAGTCACAGGTCACATTTGTTCAACAAGCACAGCTGGAAGCTTCAGGTCACATTCACCACCTGTGGCTGGGAGGTAGGCTGTGGGTCTCGTTTGTCTTCTGAGCTGCTTGTCAAGGAAGTCCCAGCATAGCATATGCAAGGACAGAGAGGAGAAATTCAGGTGAAGTCCCTTGCTCTCACTGTATGCCCAGTGAACAGGCCAGGTTGAGGTCTTGGTTAGCTGAAACCATTGTCAGGGGGCGTCCCCAGAAACACAGTGTGCCATATGCCTATGACCTTCCACATAGGCTAAGTAGGTAAAAATCCATGGGTGATCTCCACAGGGTCACTGGGGCTGATAGAATGGCTAAGTCCTCTCTGTACCACATCTCTGTAATTGCTGGTTCATGTCTCCACTGCTCACTTCTGATGGCTGCCCAGGGCACTGGAGACTAGGGGCTGGTCTGCTACACCCCAGTTCAGCCCGGAACAGGAGGGGCCACAAGAGCCTGTTACGTCACCGACCTGGTGGGATTCCAGTTGGCCAATGGCACACCTGAATGGACATTCCTTACATAGTTGGGACACAGACAGCCCCCTTGCCCGCCCATGTGTCCAGAGGGATATAAAACTCTTCCACACGTATCTCAGATGCCCTTTTCGCTTCCCTCTTCCTTCCCCTCTGCGCGAAGGGGGCCCATGAGCAAATTTTCTAATAAAGCTTCCATTTCAACTCTGAACAACTTGCCGATATTATTTCACCAGCAGGCAGGCGGTCAGTGGTCATCATCTAACAACTTCCAATCTACCTCTCTACTTGTGGCCTGGGAAAACAGTGGATGATGACCCAAGTCCTCGGATTCTGTATATACATGGGAGATCCTGAAGAAGCTCTTGGCTCCTGGCTTTTGTTCAGCTCAGCTCAGCTTAGTTGCCATGTGGAGTGAATTAGTAAGTTAGCTTTCTCTTGCTGACTCTTCTCCTCTCTGTAAAACCTACTTTTCCAATATAAATGCATAGATCCTTAAAATAAATCAATGAAGTGGGATCACAGATATCAGGCTCTGGTCTCCTGGAAGCTTGATGTTAATCCTACCACCCAGTGCTGGGGTGGTCCCAAGTAGTTGCAGACCCTGACCAAGGAGCACGAGTACGAGTTCAGGGTGATTTGGGTGCCTGAGAACAACAGTCTGAAGAAAAGGAATATCTTTCCCAAGAAGGTGGCGTGGAAAGTGTAGATGTGGTTTTTGGTGTCTCTTAGCTTTTTTCCACAAACCCAAGATGCTAGACTCAGAGGTGAGCCATACCAGAAGCCTTTATTCCAGCAAGGGACATGGTGTGGGGCAACAAGAAACAGAGTAGAGCAGAGCATGCAAAATAGGAGAGGCATCTTTTATGGCCTAGAAGTGGGGAGATAGGGAGTGTGGGGTCAGGAAATGGCAGATGTGGCTATAGGTGTACACCAGGGATATATACAAGGAGTTGGTGGAGTGCACAGTTTAAACGTGAAGGTCACTAAATTTGATTAGGCCAAAAAGCTGTAAAGGGATTTGAACTAGGAGGTTTGTGGTAATGCTGGGTAACCAGGTGTTTAAGGGAACTGAGACCTAGGAGCTTTAAGATGGTCCTGGTATACAGGCATTCATGTATTCAAGGTGGCACTGCGTCCAGGATGCTTGGTTCAGTCCTCAGAGTCCCTCCTTACAGTATCAGGGTCATAGAAGGTGACCTTCATGCCCTCGAGATCCACATACACACCCACTCTCCTGGGGCACACCTTAAGGGACTCCCAGGAGCTGCTCCCAGTGAGCACTGGGCACTTGAATCTGGTAATGTGCAGCACCCAGAAGCCACTCACGGGTCAGGCTGCCACTGCAGGATGCCTCCTCCCATGTGATGCTCAGGACACAGGCCCCGCTCTGGGGCCCACTGCACTTCACCTCCCAGGTGTGGCATTTGGAAAATTCCTGCAGGCCCAAAATGCAAAGGGACAACTAGAAGTGCTGACGCTTCACTTCATCCTCTGAGGAGTTCTGAGCAATCACGTCTGCAGTAACCATTTTCAGATCCTGTGAAATGTTCAGGCCTGGGTGGGCTGAGGCCACATCCAAGGTCACAGGGGCTGTGGGAAGAGGAGGGGAAAGAGGTGCAAGCACTTGTCAGTCATGTCCATGGGGACAGGTTTGGTGATTTGTGACCAGGCAACACTTGACTCCTGTGTGGACTTTCACTTTGGAGGAGGGAAGGGCCGTGGACATAGCTGTAGGCGTCTGTCCACAGGCCAAGTTATGCCAAGAAGGCCAGCGTGATTGTTACTTCTCCTAAGAAAAAGTTCTTCCCTCCTGGGAGTCATCGCCACCCCCTCTGCCACCCAACCTCCAACCATTAGCAACCCACACTTTTCCCAAGTTGCCCCCAAGTCTGACCCTCGATCACCCCAGCCACTCACTCAGCCCCCGCTTGAGCTTGAAAGAGCTCGAGGGAGAGATGCAACTATAGGTGTTCCCAGTATCCACTTCTGCGGTGTTTTCGGGTGCTCCACCTGGCGCCAGGCTCAATTCTAATCCTGATTCTGTTACTTCGAACCTAGACCCCGATTGGGGTTGGAATTGAGCTGGGGGATGGAGAATTGAAGATCCTGGGTTGTCTGTTGGGTCACCTTTGACAGAGAAGGAAAGAAGAGCAAGGTCAGTGGAAGCAGGAGGGCAGGAATCCCCCACAGCCTGCACAAGCTCAAGGAGGTTACTCTGGAGCTACCAGTTCCCACAGTTAGTGGAAAGTTGTCACACCACCTCCAGTGGAGCCTGTGTGAGAAATCACCAGGCCGAGGCAGAAGCTTCAAGGAAGGATGCCTCCTGGTTTGGGCTGCATCTCTAGTGGTCTTGGCATTCCTGGATGTACTCTCTTTGCTCTTTATGGCTGGAATAATACTATTTATGTGCAGCAAACGCTCAATATTCCTTTATAGTTCTATGAAGCCTTTTGACAGGAGACTGGACAAGGATAGCAAGCAGTATGAGATAAAAACTATCAGGTCTCTAGCTTCAATAAACCTACCTGGGACTATTTTTGAGGATTCCTAAAAAGAAGATTATAGTAGAGATCTATAGCTTAAAAAACCATACAGGAAGAAAAACTAAGAAATATAGACAGGTTAATATTAAAACCAATGTAAGGCACAAGGCACAATGAGAGCTAACTGCTTAATGATTAAAACTGCAGCTGGTTTTAAACCAAACCACATCCACAAGAAATAGCAACTGCAGTCTGTCACCATGCTATTAGCGAACAATCTTTTCTCAATAGCCCTACTTACCTTCCTGGAATAATTGTTTGTAAAAATGTAACCACATGAATAAACAAAAAAAATGTCCCTTTGCAATAATCTAGTGTATATTAAGTTGATGCTTTGCTTTTGCAAAATGCACTCAGATACAACTGCCTTGAGTTGTCATGTCTGTCACTCGCCGAATCCTTGCCCACCATTCCCGGGGTCCTGTTCCTGTCAGACTAATTGCTCCCGGCCGAACTGCTCCGTCGCAGAAAGTGAACAGAGACAGAGGGGGGCATATATGCTCCAACACACACAGCACCTCACATCCGTCCAGACTACCCATGGCACCTGACACTTCTTCAAGTTTTATGGAGGCCACGGTGTCCCCTCCTCCACCAGCCTCCTTCCTCTGACTCTCATCCCTGTTTTCTATCCTTTCCCTTTCCTCTCCACCTCAGGTTAGAACTGAGAACAGTCATTGGTCGCAGCAGCTGGGGTGAGGGTGAGAACACAAATCCACAACTCCCTCTGCAGTCTGTGTCCACCTTTGGACATCAACCAGCTTTGTATCCCTCTCCAGCCCCTGTGTTCAAGACTGGAGTCCTACCTGGAGTCGTTGGCTCAGGCTGTGAGCTTCTGTCAGTGTTAGGATTATTTATTTTGAGAAGGAACCCTATGAGTAGGGGAGGAAAAGCTAACTTTGATCTTGGAAGCCAAAGGCTGTGAGCTAACCACAAAGGCCATGTCCACAAAACACCAGCATCAACAATGCAGGCAGCCAATGATTCCCAGAGGACCACCACTGCCCCCAACAGAAGTGTGAAAACCTTTCAGTTGGCCCCAGTCTCAGCAGGAGAGGGAATCCCTGTTGGCCTGTTACACTGGGGACTAGGGATCAGAACATTGAGTTCTGGTTGGAGGTGGAAGGACCAATCATTGACCCTCTCAATGGAGACATTGCAAAAGACCACAGGGATTACCCAGTAGGGCTGCTAAGACATCAGAAAAGACCCCGGGTCCAGTACATTTAGAACCATTTCTTGGGCCCGGTGGCATGGCCTAGCAGCTAAAGTCTTCGCCTTAAATGCGTCAGGATCCCATAGGGGGCGCTGGTTCTAATCCCAGCAGCTCCACTTCCCATCCAGCTCCCTGCCTGTGGCCTGGGAAAGCAGCCAAGGATGGCCCAAAGACTTGGGACCCTGCACACTTGTGGGAGACCTGGAAGAAGTTCCTGGATCCTGGCTTCAGATTGGCACAGCACCGGCCATTGCACTCACTTGGGGAGTGGATCATCGGACGGAAGATCATCCTCTCTGTCTCTCCTCCTCTGTGTACATCTGACTTTGCAATAAAAGTAAATAAATCCTAAAAAAAAAAAAAAAAAAAAAAGAAAGAAAGAAAGAAAGAAAAGAAAGAACCATTTCTTGTTTTCCATGGCTCTGATTTCCTTTGTGGGAGAATTCTCCCACCTTCCCTTTTGGGAGTCTCTCTCCCTCAATAGCAGGAAGCAGCCCCTCACCCCACTTACTGTTTTGCCACAAGGATACACTCATTTCTGACAGGATTTTGCTTCGGTGTTTCTTCTTCTCAGCTTGGAGCTTCTCTGGGGGTAGATCAGAAGAAATGAGAGGCTGAGGAAGTTGAGCAAGGAGTCCAGATTTGAACCACAAGGTCCTGATGTGAAACCCCTGGGAGCAGTGAGCTGGAACTGTGTCATGTTCTCAGTGCATGTGAGACTCCCAGCCTTGCTGCCCTCCTTGCCTAAAGTGACCATACAGCCCAGCACTGTCCAGTAGACATCTGATGAGACCTCTTTTAGGGCGAATTAAAAATTCTTGGGGCCTGGCATGGTGGCATATAGGCCAATAGTTTGCCTGCGGGGCAAATGCCCCCAAGAGGACTACTCATGTCCCAGCTGCTCTGTTTCCAATCTCTCTTCCTGCTTATGGCATGGAAAAGTGGCAGAAGATAGCCTAATGGCTTGAGCCGCTGCACCCACATGAGAGACCCAGAAAGAAACTTCTGGCTTCAGACCAGCAAACTCTATCTGTTGTGGCGCTTTGTAGACTTAACCAGTAGATGGAAGATCTGTCTCTGTCTCTTTTTCTCTTTCATTCTGCCTTTAGAAGGGGTGAAAGTAAATAAATCTTTGTAAAAAAGTTATGGAAAGATGAAATTGAAAGACTTTTGGGTGAGTGTTTAACATGCTGCTTAGGATACTTGATGCCTGCTCTGGTTCTAATCCATCTTCCTGCTTATGGCCTGGGAAAGCAGCAGATAATGGCCCAAGGATTTGGCCCTGCACCCACATGGGAGACCCAGAAAGAAGCATCTGGCTTCAGATCGGCACAACCATATCTGTTGTGGCCCTTCTGGGACTTAATCAGTGGATGAAAGATCTCTCTCTCTCTCTCTCTCTTTTTCTCTTTGTTAATCTGCCTTTCAAAAGAGTAAAAACAAATCTTTTTACAAAGTCATGGAAAGATGAAACTGAAAGACACTTTTGGGTGAATTCTGCGTGCAGTGTTTAACATGCTGCTTAGGACACTTGATGCCCAGCTCTGTTTCCAATTCCAGCTTCCTGCTAAGGGGCACCCTGGGAGGCCCGGGTGATGGTGTAAAGGTCTAAGTTCCTGCCACACACATGGGAGACTAAGATTGAGTTCTTGACTTCTGGTTTTTTCCTGGCCTAGCCCTGGATATTGTAGATATCTGGGCAGTGAATTAAGCGGATGGGAGATATCTCTCCCTTTCTATCTGTCCTGTGCTTTTTAAGCAACAGTTTTTTACAATTAAGTTATTTTGGTGCAGCAAATTTTGAAACCCATGGGAAGTTTTTTTCACATACATATTTCCATGAACATTTAAGCATGCCACATATAATTTTCATCTTTGTAGTAGTAGAACCAGTGTTGTGGTTTTGCACATTATACTGACACCCATAATGTCAACGTTCCATGGATACCACTATATTGGACTCTCACTTCTACTGATACATTTATAAACCAACTCCGTGAAAACAACTTGGAAAAACAGCAGATGGTTCAAGTGCCTAGACCCCTGCCACCCTCAGTAAAATAAAAACAAGGTGGAGTTCCTGGCTCCTGACTCAGACCTGGCCATCCCTGGCCATTGTGGCCCTCTAGGAACTGAAACAGTTGATGGAAGATCTCTCTCTCTTTCTCTCTCTCTGTGTGCGTGTGTGTGTGTCTCAATCTCTTCTCTCTGAAACGCAAAGAAATGAATAAGTCTTTTTTAAAGATTTATTTATATTGGAAGGCAGATCAGATTTACAGAGAGAAGGAGAAACAGAGGGAAAGATCTTGCATTTGCTGGTTCACTCAAAGATGGCTGCAAGGACTGAAGTTGAACTAATTTTATCTAAAGCAAGGAGCCAGGAGTTTCTTTCAGGTCTCCAACATGGGTGAATGCTCCAAGGTTTTGGGTCATCCTCTACTGCTTTTCCAGGTATAAATAGGGAGCTGTATGGGAAGAGGAGTAGCCATAACATGAACAGGCACCCATTTACAATGTGATCCTGCCAGTTACAACGTATTTAGCCATTGAGCCATTCTTCTGAGCCCAATACATAAGTCTTTAAAACATTTTTTTCCAGTGCTTACATTAAAAACTAGGAAGAGAGGTTGGCACTGTGGTGCAGCAAGTTCTATGCTCCCTTGTGACGCTCGCATCCTTTGAAGGCAATATTTTGCCTCCTCTCCACAAACATAGGCTATAGAGTCACATGTGGTGAAGACCAGCTCCTCTTTTGTAACTGTCATAAGATGTGGGCATTAGGTATAGAAAATACCAAGTGGAACAGAGCATGGGAGAAAGGCCTGAGGGAAGCATAGCCATGGAATGGTGCCATGATGGGTGCTGTCAGATTAGAATCCTCCAGTGAAGAGGACAGAGACCCCGACAGCCTCTTCCTTACCTCCAAATTTCCTCAGGCTCTTGATGATGGAGTCATGTCTGGACTTTGCTTTGCTGATTTTTCTCTCCAAGTCCATAGGAATTGAGGATACTATGTGAAACTGAGACTGAAACCCTTCACTCCTAGGAGAACAAGGCTGAACTTGGTGGGGAGGCAAAGGAGAGGCTGGTCCTTTGGATCCAGCCCTGTGAGGGTAGAGTCACGGCAGTGGCTGTGGCAGTGGGCATTAAGACCTAGTGAGTGTGTTGAGTCAGGAGGCAGGCACAATAGGAATGGGGCTGCAGTGAGAAGCTGCCCAAGGAGACTTGGGTGTGAGAGGGAAATGAGAAAAGCAGTGGGGCAGGGAGAGAGGACCAGGAGGCATCCAGCTGAGCAGAGGTCCTACAAGAGGCCCTGGGAGATGGGAAGAACTGCTCAGACATCTCACAGTCAGCTCATTTGTTCAACTCAGACCTTCCCTTCTGCAGCCTAAACCTCTGACTGCAGAGTCCAAGGTATAAGTGTTGGTGAGTGGGGAATGTTGAGGGTATATGAAGCTATGTTGGGAACAGAACATAGCAATGACTCAGGAGACAGCATGCATGTAGGATGGTCCTCGTACCTGTGTAAGGTGCCTTTGATGTCCTAGAAGAGAAAGACAAACAGCATGGTCTCAGCACTCAGCTGACTCATGGGGCCAAGGAGCAGCCAAGTAAGCAAGTGGGTGTAGGCAGAGTGAGAACATCTCTGCAATTCTCTCTCTCTCTCCCTCCTGTTCTCACTCACCAAGTGGACTCCTCCAAGAAGCACTGACATGGCACTAAATAGATACACAGTTAGACATCAAGAGGAACAACTGACGAGCAGAAAAAGAGTGACATTTTGTAGATGAATTTTGTCTGATACTTACTTTAGCAAAAGAGCCCATGGGAAGGTGGATGCCACAAGTGCCATATTAAAAACTGCACCAATCTCCTGCCTTTAACATGCTGAAGCTGTTCATATGTGGCTTGTAATATATTTCTAAATTACACATGTGGTTCATCTTACATTTCTCAATTAGACTGGGCAGTAACTCACATTATATTTTTAAATTACAAATGTGGTTTACATATTTTAAATCACACATATGGTTCATATTGTCATTCCAAGCAACACGTTACCACCTGAACTCTTTTTTGCTGGATGATGCAAGGTGACTGGAGCAAACTCACGGATTCTGACAGGTGCTGGCACATGGGTCAGATACATGGTCTGGGCTCCACATCACATGGATTTGGCCCCTGGGGGACTCACCTCTAGTAGCTCTATGGGTGGCATCCTCTGCTTGTCTTTTAACGAATCCTTGAAATCCTTGAGAGAGCTGAGCTGTACCTTGGTGGCAGCACTGTAGCGTTCACTCTCCTTGGCTCCATTATTAGCCAGCTCTTTGATATTGGACAAGATACTGTTCTTCTCCTCCTCTAGTACCTGTTGCAGGTGCTCGAATTCTGTCTGGATCCGTTGTTTCTCAAACTCCACCTGTGCCTGAGGGGTGAGATACAGGGACACAGAGAGAAGAGATGGCCTCAACTGTCCTTTCACCGATGTGATTTTATTTTAATTTTTGTATTGGATTGTACTGAGTACCAATATACAATAGGGTTCAGACTTGAGAAGATTTGAGGAGAATAAACTTTTTTTTTCTTTAAATACATTTGCTTCTTTTTTGAATGACAGTGAAAGAAAGAATGAGAGAGAGAGCACCTTTTATCTGCTGATTCACTTCCCAAATGCCCAAATAGCCTGAGCTGGGCCAGGCTGAAACCAGCAGCCAACAGCTCCATCCAAATCTCCCACATTAGTGCAGGTCCCCAAGTACTTGGGCCATCTTCTCCTGCTTCCCCAGGTGCATAGGCAGAAACTCAGACTGTAATAGAGCAGCTGGACCTCAAACCAGTACTCAGATGTGATGCCAGTATTGAAGGAGGCAGATTAACCCTTGCACCATGATGCAGGCCCTGAGAACACACATTTAAAAGCACTTCCCATGCCAATGTTGTGGTGCAGACCATTAAAACATTGTTTGCAATGAAAACATTTCATATTCAAGTGCTGGTTGAGCTACTGACTGCTCTGCTTCTGATCCAGTTCCTGCTAATGCACTGGGGAAAATAATAGAAGATGGCTAAATACTTGGGCTCTTACCACAGCATGGAAAACCTGGATGAAGCCCAAAGTTCTTGTCTTCAGCCTAGACCACCTTCTTGCTATTGAGAGCATTGCAAAGTGAAGCAGTAAATGAAAAATCTTTCTCTCCTCTCACTGTTACTTTTCTTCTCATATATTTATTTATTTATTTATTTAAAAAGAACATTTCTTTTGTGCTCAGGGATACACTATATTATAATTTTTTTAAGATTTATTTATTTTTATTGGAAAGGCAGATATTCAGAGAGGAGGAGAGATAGAGAGGAAGATCATCCATTCGATGGTTCACTCCCAAAGCAGCCACAATAGTTGGAGCTGAGCCAATCCAAAGCCAGGAGCCAGGAGCCTCTCCCAGGTCTCCCATGTGGGTGCAGGGTCCTAAGGCTTTGTGCCAACCTCAACTGCTCTTCCAGGCTAGAAGCAGGGAGCTGGATGGGAACAAGGCTGCCAGGACTAGAACTGGCGCTCATATGGGATCCCAGTATGTTCAAGCCAGGAACCTTGGCTGCTAGGGTATAGCACTGGGCTCCACTCTATGATAAATTTTTTCAGCTTTCTTTTTTCTATTATTATTATTATTGTTGTTGTTGTTATTATATGATATAATCCCACAGGCTCTGAGATTTCCATTACTCCCTCCACAAGCCGCTCCTCACATACACTGATTTCCCCTATAGTATTAAAATAGTGCAGTTCTTCATGAACAATCATGACTCTGTCGTTGTAGGCATGGACAATGGCAGAGAGTTCAGCACCCTATTGCCGAGATATATTTAACAGCTTCATTAGGAGTCCATCCTTAATCTGGAAGTAGAGACACATTATATCCTCACATCTGTATATGATAGACTCCATCACACAGTTACTATACATCCCTTAAATGAAAAGCTATAAAACAAACAGACACAACAGAAAGAAAAATAGAAATTTACAATGCCATGAAGTTTAATAACATACTACTAAATGACTAATGTGTTGCCAAAAAATTAAAAAAGAAAATCATGAATCTTCTTGAAGAAAATGATGCTACTGTATGACCTATGAGTCAGTGAAGAATTTAATATGAGAAAAAAATTGTTTTGAATAAATAAAAATTTAAAAAAACATCAAAATCTATGAGATACAGTTTCTGCTGATCTTTGTTGGTCAAATGTGTCTCTTGTAGGCACGGCATAGATGGGTTTGGGTTTTTAATCCATTCTACTAATCTGTGACATTTTATTTATGAATTTAAGTCACTTACATGCAGGTTTAATGTGAATAGGTGGTCATTTGATCTTGTCATTTTAGCAATGGGTTATTATTGTTTGATTTAGTCTTCTGGCATTATCTTACTGGGATGTTTTCACTTTTGCTCTGGCTTAGGTTGGTGTTATTGTGGTGAGATAGGCAGCTAGTTCTGGATCACCAGCTTGGAAGTCACTCCCCCATCACCTACTGTTCCCTCCTGCCCACTGTGACTCTCACCTATCACCTGAGAGGGGGCAGTATTGCATTGTTGTGTAGCCACTACCCTCACAAGCCCCTATAAAGACTCATTATAGGAAGGGGCTTGCTCTCTTGGCCTGCCCAGTATCTCTGAGGACAGGTATCCCCTGAGTATGACCCCTGTGTGTCTATATTCCTCACCCCCTGTTCACTGCTTGAGTGGGACAATGAAGACAGCAATGCTAAGATGCTTTGTATTTCTAATTTGTGTACTGTTGCGAGTTCCAGGAGAGGTGAATCCTAGCAGTAGTAGATTGTGGACAGAGAAGCCAGGGAAAGGTGACTGTCTGCAGCTTTGTAAGTGTGTCCATGTTATTTGTTGCCTGTCTCTTAGGATAGTGTATATTGTTGGGGAAGCTGGGACATAGGTCTTTAGCTTAATGTTTGGATTTGAGGGTAATGACCATTTGTTCCTCATGGGGTTATGACTGATTGGATTGCCATATGGACTTGTGATTTGATATTTCTAGAATCACCAAGCGTAGTTTAAAAAGACTTAATAAACTTTTGACTTGTTTGGAGTGATCTCACTTGTACTCTGTAACACTATTGCATTTCTCTATCAAGAGAACATCTTTAAATATCATTTGTATGGAAAGTCTGGAAGAGTCATATTCTTTGAGCTTTTCTTTACTGTGGAAGAATTTCATTTCATTTTCAAAGACAAAGGAAAGCTTTGCTGGGTGCATTATTCCGGGCTGACAATTTTTTGCTTTTAGAATCTGAAATATATCCTTTGCAGGGGAGTCTTCAGTAATATTCATTGTGGCTTTGTCTCTTTTGCCCTTGGTCATTGCACTTAAAAATTTTTTTTTTGAAGTAAAAGGCAAATTTATTTTGGTGTGAAATTTTTTTGAAATCCACACACAGTGGTTTGTTGGGGTTTTTTTGTTTTTGTTTTTTTTTAATATTTTATTATTATTGTTATCATTTTATGATACAGTTCCATATTCCTTTATACCCTCCCAAATTCCCTCCCAGCCTAGTTCCTTTATATCATTACTAACATATAGTTCTCTATACTCAGTCATATGTCCATCATTTTGGGCATGAACCATGGCAGAGTCCAGAATCCTATTGTCAATATATAGTAAACAGTTTCATTGCAAGTCCATCTTTGTTTGGAAACAGAAATGCATACCACACTGCATCCTCACATCTGGTTGTTAGTCTCCATTTCACAGCTACTGTACATCCCCTTAAATGAAAAGTCATAATACAAAATCAACAATAGAAAGAAAAGCAGAAATTTACAATGCCATGAAGTTAAATGACATGTTACTAGATATGACACTCTCCATTACACAGTTACTATACATTCCCTAAAATGAAGAGCCACAAAACAAACTCAACATAGAGGAAAAAAAGAAATTAATAACACCAAGAAGTTTAACAACATGCAATTAAATAAATAATGTGTAGCTGAATAAATAAAAATCAAGAACTTTCTTGATCTATGAGTCATTGAATGATTTACTCAGAGAAACTTTTGGAAGAGATGAAACCAACAGAAAACAACAAAACCCATGCAATACAGTTTCTGCTGATCTTTGTTGGTGAAGTATGTCTCTTCTAGACAACAAACAGATGGTTTTTGTTTTGTTAATCCAGTCTACTAATCTATGATGTTAGATTGAGCTTAAGCCATTTACATTCAGAGTTAAATATACATGGGTGGTACTTTGGTCTTGTCATTTTAGGAATGGGTTGTTCATTGGTTTAATCTTCTGCTGTCATTTTACTGGGATATTCTCTGTTTTGTTTGGTGCTATTCCTCTTCTCTGTCAAGAGAACATCTTGAAGTATCCTTTGTAGGGCAGGTTTGAAAGAGGCAAATTCTCTTAACATTACTTTACAGTGGAAGAATTTTATTTCATTTTGAAAGATGAAAGAAAGCTATGCGGGGTATGTTATCCTGGGCTGACAATTCTTTTCTTTTAGAATCTCCATTCTCTTCTGACTCTTAGATTTGGCCTCTTAATAGTGTCTTTCAATTCTTGAATGCTTTTTTTGGCCTGATCCAGCTCTACTTCCAGTTTGTTGTTTGCTTCCCCCTGGTGACAGGAAATATCTTCCAATTCTGAGATTCTTTCTTCTGCTTGCTTTGTTCTGCTTTGGAGACTCTCTGCTATACTTTTAATTTGCTCTACTCTGTTCTTTATTTCTGATATACCAGCCTTAATTTGCTTTACTGCTTCCTTAAATTCTTTGAACATGTCATGAGAATGTCTTCTGATTTTTTATCAGAATCTTTAAAATGAATTTTACAGATTCTGTGTCCCCCATTTTCTCGATGTCTTCTTCGGTTAACTCTGAGGTTGGCATAAGGTTTTGCTCCTTTGCAAGAGAGTTTTCAGTAATATTCATTGTGCCTTTGTCTCTTCTTTTGCTCTTGATCATTGTACTTCTGGTTAGCAGAGTCTTCTCCATTGGGCAGGTTTCTAATCTGTGTCACCCACAGGTCTATAATGTGACTTTACTTATAGCAGTTGGTACACAACTTTTTGCTTGCAGTCAATTGTGCCACTCATTCCCTCCAGTGAGTTTCAGGTCTGGATTCTTATGTCAGATTTCCATCGTGGTCTCCACAGCCCCAGCTCTTGGCTCACCAATCTCCACCTCCTGTGATATCGTACTGAGGCTGCACTGTTGTCTCTGCAACCTTTCTCCCACTTCTGGTTGGAGGAGGTTCCAGGACTACCAGGTGTCCAATATAATTAGGTTGATGGTGACGCTGATCTTGTCAGAACCTGTTGGACGTTAGGTCTGGTTGTCACAGGGACCTATTTTGACCCGTACGATGCCACAGCCGGTATTATTTTCCTGTGGGACCTCAGCGAGTTCTTGTGAGCTCAGCACATGTGCAGTTCACTGTTGTCCCCTGCAGCCTCAAAGCTATTGCCACAGTGAGCAAAATGGTGCCTGATGTAACACCACTACAGTTCTTGATCTGCTGGCCATCAGATTTGAGGGCTACCCAGACCTGCCCTGGTTGAAACCCATAGAATGCTATGTTGTTGCAGTTCACCGAGTCAGAAATGAGCTCACTCCCAGCTCAGCACATGCTCAGTCCTTTCCCTTCCCCTTTCCCTCCTTACACAAAATGGCGCCCAATTCAGCTCTAGGGGGCTGACTGGGCTATGAAATCCACTCTGTTTTCACATTGCCCATCTGAGATTTGCTGTTCTGTCTCTTCTCCTGGTCAAATCAAATGGACCAGCAGGGCAGACAGCTCTTTGTCTGGATTGACCTCCCAAGCTCCCAGTGAAAGTCCCTTCCCTCCTGGTTGCTGGTGGAGTTCTGGCTGCTGGTGGAGTTCAGATCGCCATGCTGGAGTATCAGTCACTGCAACACCACACTGCTGCGCCCGCTGCTTTCCTGTGTCTGTCGGTCTCCAGGTACCCTTCTGCTGCTGTTCTGTCCTTTCCTATTTCCTGAAATATGTCCTCTTTGCTTCATCTTGATTAAATGTTTCTCTGTCTGATTAAACGTGTCCTTACCATCCTTGTCCTTACCTGCCTTCTTGATTCTCCGAACATTACACTTTTGCTTATCAGATTCTTCTCATTAGGGCAGGTTTCTAAGTTGTGTTGTTTGAGGAGTCAGACTGGATAGTAGGCAGGGTTTTTCATCCTTACTTAAATTAATTTTTAAAAATATAAAATAATGTTTTTCCCTATTTCTTATATTTCCAAGAGTATGTCTCCTTGAGGAATGACAAAGGGTCAGAGTTGACATATCAATCCCCCATATCAGAATTTTTGTCATAACAAAAGCAGGAGACAGTGACCCACACTAATCACATTTCTGGGTCACTGTCAAAGAGATAATGCCTGCTATTCAGCTTCTCATTAGAATGAAAGGAGAAAGTAAACCAGTCCTACCCTTCTGAGGTCCTTTGATTCTGGACCACAAATTATTGTAAACAAAGTTGTTTTTTTTTTTTCTTTTGTCCTTTGGGTGACTCCCTTCATATGAGATATAAAAGATATTGACTTCCATTGTACACAGGACTTTTCTTCCTTGGAGACCCCTCCTACAACCATGGCAGGAGATCTCTCTCTTGGTCTTCTCTTGGAGCCCCTCCTGCCACTTGTACAGGAGTCACTTTCCCTCTTCTTCATAAATAAATCTCACTTTGCAACTGGAATTGTCTGTATGGAAATTCTTTCGTGTGAGACAAGTAGCACGGTTGCTGCTGTGTTTCGCATCAGAAGAGTGTCACACACAGGACTACAGTTTGATTTTACTGATTGTGGTTGGTACCCAGTTTTTTATTTACAATCAATGTGCCACTCTCTCCAGCAAGTTTCAGATATCAGTTTTTATGTTACACTTCCACTGCCATTTCTGTAACCCAAGCTCCTGGCTCACCAGTCTCCAAGTCCTGAGATCTCACGCTGAGGATGCACCATTTTTTGTACAACCATCTCTGATTCTCCATGGATAATGATTCTCCAATTATTTAAACCTGTTCTTACCCTATTCTGCCATTTTGATTCTCATGTTAAACTCTGCTATCATTTATGTCATCATTTTTGCTCACAAGAATTTCCCTAAACTCATCTTTCCAGAAAAAATTTCAGTTTTAATATGCTCTCATATCAGTTTTTCTTTTCTGCTTGACACACCAAAACAAACAAACAAACAAAAAAAAACAAACAAGAAAAAGCATCACAGGGTGAAATTTTTCCTTACCATTAAGTTGCTGATCTTCTCTTCACCTTGAGCTTTCACATGTACCAGTACCTGCTCCTTTTGCTCCAAGACTCCAACATGCCTTTGGATCTGCTCCTATGGGGAGAGGGACCCTCAGAAAAGGTTCTGCCAGCATTGCTCTTAGCCGCCTAAAAAACTCCGAGTCTCTGCAGAGAGCAGATGACATGTTCAAGAGAGTTCTGGAAGTAACTGTTAATCCATACTGCTTTCTCAAGCTGGGGGGAAGGGAGAAATCAGAACCTACGTGACCTAAAAGAGAAGAGGATTGCTATGACTTTTTTTTTTAAAGATTTATTTATTTTTATTACAAAGTCAGATATACAGGGAGGAGGAGAGACAGAGAGGATGATCTTCCATCCAATAATTCACTCCCCAAGAGAGTGCGATGGCCGATGCTGAGCTGATCCGGAGCCAGGAGCCAGGAACTTTCTCCAGGTCTCCCACGTGGGTGCAGTGTCCCAAGGCTTTGGGCCATCCTCAAATGCTTTCCCAGGCCATAAGCAGGGAGCTGGATGGGAAGTGGAGCTGTCGGGATTAGAACCAGCACCCATATGGGATCCTGGCACAATCAAGGTGAGGACTTTGGCCATTAGGCCACCACTCTGGGCTTGCTATGACTTTTTATGAGTAATGTTTGGATGGTACTTCAAGACTGCCAAAGACTCCCACAAACCTTTCCTCACCTCTTCTATCAAAATTGTGGTGAGATAGGCAGCTAGTTCTGGATCACCAGCTTGGAAGTCACTCCCCCATCACCTACTGTTCCCTCCTGCCCACTGTGACTCTCACCTATCACCTGAGAGGGGGCAGTATTGCATTGTTGTGTAGCCACTACCCTCACAAGCCCCTATAAAGACTCATTATAGGAAGGGGCTTGCTCTCTTGGCCTGCCCAGTATCTCTGAGGACAGGTATCCCCTGAGTATGACCCCTGTGTGTCTATATTCCTCACCCCCTGTTCACTGCTTGAGTGGGACAATGAAGACAGCAATGCTAAGATGCTTTGTATTTCTAATTTGTGTACTGTTGCGAGTTCCAGGAGAGGTGAATCCTAGCAGTAGTAGATTGTGGACAGAGAAGCCAGGGAAAGGTGACTGTCTGCAGCTTTGTAAGTGTGTCCATGTTATTTGTTGCCTGTCTCTTAGGATAGTGTATATTGTTGGGGAAGCTGGGACATAGGTCTTTAGCTTAATGTTTGGATTTGAGGGTAATGACCATTTGTTCCTCATGGGGTTATGACTGATTGGATTGCCATATGGACTTGTGATTTGATATTTCTAGAATCACCAAGCGTAGTTTAAAAAGACTTAATAAACTTTTGACTTGTTTGGAGTGATCTCACTTGTACCCTGCAATATTTTCAGAGCTATTTGGAGGTCTGCTGCTAATAGCCTGGGAAACTAGTGAAGGATGACTGAAATCCTTGGTCCCTGCACCCATGTGGTAGACCAGGAAGAAACTCCTGGCTTCCAGCTTGGGACTGACGCAGTTCCAGCTGTTTTGAAAATTCATGGAGTGAAGATTGAAGACAAAGATATTTCTCTCTCTCTCGCAATAAATAAACCTTTTTTTAAAGATGTATGATTTGAAAGCTGAGGGATTCCTTAAATGTCACACAATCAACTCAAAGTCTTGATTTGAGCCCACATTTTTTTAAATTTTGTATTTTTAATTTTATTTTTAGAATTGTTTACATAGTTGAGATGGGTGCATGCCTACATGCATTTGCATTTAGGGTAGTCAGAGTCAAGTTATGGTAGGTGAGTGAGACAAATGCTTAAATTCTTTCCTTTTTTTCCCTCTTCTCTCTGTGGGGCAGGAGGAGGGACTGCTGCTTGATTTCAAATTATTTCATAGAATACGACATCTTATAGACCCCTATGTGGAGTCTACATCTTCTGAATCAAATTCCTGTGTCTTGGAGCTGGTGAATGGCTGAATAGGCTAACCTCCCCACATGAACTGCTAACACCCCTATATGAATGCTAGCTCATATCCTGGTTGCTCTGCTTCTGATTCATTTCTCTGCTTATGACCCAGGAAAGCAGAGGAAGATGACCCATGTCGTTAGGACCAGGCACCCATGTGGGAGACCCAGAAGAAGATCCTGGCTCCTGGCTCCTGGCTTCTGGCTTAGGATCAGCTCAGCTCTAGCCATTGCAACCATTTGGAAATTCAACCAGTGGATGGGAGATCTTTCGCTCCTTCTCTCTGTAAATCTGCCTTTCAAATAAAAATAACTTTTCTTCTTCTTTTTTTTCTTTTTAAATCTGTGGGGGCCTGCCATGGTAGCCCAATTTCCTAATCCTCCCATTGCAAGTGCCAGGATCTCGTATGGGAACCAATTTATGTCCTGACTATTTTATTCCTACCCTGTTTGTGACCCTTGTGAAAGCAACAAAGGGTGGTATAAAGCCTTGGGGCCCTATAGCTGCATGTGAGACCCAAACGAAGCTCTTGGCAACTGGCTTTACATTGGCACAGTTGGGGCTGGTGCAGCATTTGTGATGCAAACCTGTGAATGAAAGATTTTTCTCTCTGTGTCTCTGCTTTTATCCATAAACCTGCCTTTCTACTAGTGAGACCATGAGTAGGACTGAGGGCAGCAGACGTGGCTGTACATGGCTACAGACTTCACCAGCACAGGTGTGCACTAGGATGGTGGAGTGACAGATTGGGCTTAACTCCAACCACTACTGGTACTAATGAGAGCCAGTTTGGCTATAGAACAGGCCAGACCAGGTCTTGACTTCCACTGAACTATGTGAAAGTGGTGTCTGGGCATGGACCAATAGTGCTGGCCTGTAACATCCAACAACAAGAGCCAGAATGGGTGTGAGCAATTGAGAAAGGCCACTGTTCTTGTCATGACAGGAGGTGGACAAAGTCAACCTGGACCAACTATCCACTGATGTTTGTAAGAACTGCCATTGGGGGATACTCAATGGAGGAGCTTCAGAAACTCCTTCATTGAGATGCAGCCCCTGTAGGTGAGTGCAAGAAGCAAGGCAAGGAGCAGCCTAGACCATGCCAGGTTACGGTACCCGCTGGCATACATGTGGGTCAGATCTGGGGACAAACCAGTCTGGACCATCATATAACACCCAGTGAGAGATCTAACAACTAGGGAAGGGGGCAGGAGGAGCCAGATTGGACTGCAACACCAGCCAGTTCACATTAGGACCATGACAGCAATCAGGCTGGGATGGGATAGGCTGTAGCACCCACTAGCAGGAGCTGGGTCAGGGGACAAACTAGACTAGGCCAAGCTGAGCAATTAGATTGTGGATGGTGAGGTGAGGTGAGTCATGCCAAGCTGGACCCAACAGGGTTAAGTACATAAGTCCAAGCAACAGAGGATTTGACAGGCTCAGGTAGCTTGGCTCAGGTCATTGGGTCCACCTGTGTGGTGGGGAAAGGGTTCCTGAGCCACAGGGATGGAGGAACCGGTGAGGTGTGTGTGGCTTGGCCCAGATCCTGGGGTCGAATTCTAGGTGGGTGTTGGTTTCCTGAACACTGGGGGTGGGGATTCTGGCAGGATTTGGGTCTCCTGGCCCAGGTCCCAGGTCTGCCTGTTAGGTGGATGTCAAGTTCGTGATCCCCAGGGGTGGGGGATCCAGCGGGGCTTGGGTCTCCTGTCCTGGGCCCTGGGTCCTGCCTACTAGGTGGTTGTTGGGCTTGTGAGCCCCGGGGGGGTGGGGGGGCGCGGAAATCTGATGATGCTTGGGACCTGGCCCAGCTACTTGGATTTGCTGCAAGAACATGCCCTACTTAGTAAAAAACGGTAGAGCAGTGGACACAGGCCCTGTTATAAAAGGAGTCTATAGCAGCTAATTTGGTGCTGTAGCAGAAGAAGAACAGAGCTAACTAGACATTTATCCTAAACAGACGAGGAGAGCAAAAAATATTAAGTGAATGGAGCCAATCAGCATTGGGAGGGTGACGTCATCCTTGGATCAGTAAAATTGGCAGCATTTCAAAACTATCCAAACTACTTATACAGAAGCTTTGGAATATGTACACATTGAGACTCTGGGTTGGTATGAGCTGGCAGTTCCTCATCCCTGGGTACTGGGACGTATGGGAAGTCATGAGTGGTTCTGCCCTTTGTTTCTCCCCTTCATCCAGGAAGAAGAAGAAATAGCAAATTTGGGATCAATATGTTCACTCAATTTTTCCTAAACCTCGATTCTTCCCACCCTGATCAACCATGTAGTCATTATTCAAACACAAAATGTATTTAAAAATAAATTTTAAAAAATCTATCTTTTCCATTCTCCACTATTCCCTGATTGTCATGGGCAGCTATTCCCCAGACTAGAACTTTGAGCTCATATGCCTCATATGTAACTTGCAGGAACCACGGAGAACAAACCCACAGGAAGGAGTCAACAGCTTGCAAATCAGCAAAGGGGAGCCCCAGTGCCTACCTGATAATGCTTGACAGCTTTTTCTATCAGGCTGGTGTTATGGAATCTGTGCTCCTTGGAGTCCTCACATATCACACAGAGAAGTTCCCCATCTGACTTACAGTAGTAGTTCTGCTTCTCTCCATGCTTTGAACATCTCAGTTTTTCTTTTTCGAGCCGCCTCTCAGAGGGATACATAGCCTGAATTTTTTCCACCAGATTCCACAGTAGCCAGTTGGTTGGGAATGTGTCTTTATCCATGCACATTTTGCAGAGGGGACATTTGAAGAAATCCTTGGAAGCTAGCTTTAGCTGAGTGATGCAACTGTGGCAGAAGCTGTGCCCACAGTAGATGGTGACAGGGTCTTGTAGAATCTCCAGGCAGATATTGCAGGTCACTTCCTGCTGCAGGTTGGTGGGAAAACTTTGGCTGGCCATGACAGAGCATCCAGGTTGATCTATACAGGCAGGAACACTAGAAACCGATGTTGGACACTGTTGCCAGAAGAAAGGATGAAAGAGGGCAGGTAGAAGTCAAAGAGTCTGTCAATCAACCATGGGAGCAAGGTGGGAGGAAAAGAAGAGCGAGAACAAACCGATCCAAAGGAGTAAAGATCTCAATCCAGTGAGCATTCTGGAGAGCAGAGTCAGGACGAATCTCTCTTGTCACCACCTGAGAACAAATGGCAGCTCAGAAAGTATATTTGCAGATTATAGACAGGTTAAGTGGTCTTGAACCTTGGACTGGTTGTATATAAGGCAGGTGACTGGATCAGAAGGGCAAGTGCAATAAAGTCCAGTCAGAGAAGACTTCCCAGCAGCATTAGGAAGGGAGTGGGAGGACTGGCAAGCATCTCCAGCAAGGTCACAGACTGGTGGAGCCAAGTCCATAAAGATATAGAACATGTGTAGGGAGAAGGAAGAAAATGAGATCCATTGCAGGTAATTTGGTTCCTCACTTTGAAGAATCTTGTGAAGATGTCAAAAATAGAATGCCACCTTGTACCTTTTCTCTCACAAGGGATTGCTAATCAAATGTGAGACACAAGAAACTTCTTTTCTGCTTTTGTTTTGTTTTGTTTTATGATTTATTTTATTTATCTTTGAGACTTGTAGGAAGATAGGGAGAAATAAAGAAAGAGCTTCCATCTACTGGTTCACTCTCCAGATGACCACAATGGCCAGAGTTGAGCCAGTTGAAAGCCAGAAGCCCAGAGCTCCTTCTGGGTCTCCTACCAGGATGTAGGGACCCAAGCACTGAGACCATCCTCTGTTGTGCTCCCAGGCACATCAGCAGGGAGCTGGATCAGAATTAAAGCAGCTGGTTCCTGAACTGGCATCCACATGAGATGTTAGCACTGCAGGCAGAGGACTAATTTGTTATTGCACTGCGCTGACCCCAGTAACCTCTTTCTGAAGATCATTCTGATTTCCAAGTTGTTCTTCATCCTAGTGGAGTTCTTCCTGTCACACACTATCTGTAGTCATCTGTCCTCTGAGGAACTGTTCTCCGTGTATGTTTAGTTCTTTGCTTTGTGTGTCATGTCTCTTTTTTCTTCATGGTGACTCTAATTCCTTACTTGCTCTCCCCTGTGGATTTTGTCCTGAATAATTTTTATGATTATAACCATTCATGAAATGTACATGATGTTATTTACACCTCAAGTGGTTGGCTAAAATTTAGCTTTGTGGCTTCTTCCATGGAGAGTGCTGTATTTTTGAAGCATTCAGGTCACCCTTCCGCCAGTGAATCTAGCTGTTTAATAGGCTTGGGCATGCTGCTCTACCTAAATTCTCACCTGGCATCTGCTGGGATCCCATGTAGGCACCAGTTTGTGTCCCAGCTGCTCCACTGCCAATACAGCTCTCTGCTTGTGTCCTGGGAGAACAGTAGAAGATGGCCCCAAGTCTTCAAGCAATGCACCCACATCTGAGACCTGGAAGAAGCTTCTTGCTTGGCCCTGTGCAGTAGCCTAGCAGCTTAAGTCCTCACTTTGCATGCGCCAGGATCCCATATGAGTGCTGGTTCTAAACCCAGTAGCCCTGCTTCCCATCTATCTCCCTGATTGTTGCCTGGGAAAGCTGTGGAGGATGGCAAACAACAATGTTACAAAAAGCTTGACTTGATTAAGGAGAGCAGAGAGGAATTTGTCTGGATATTGAGTTCACAGATTGCTAGTGCCAGAGACCAAGGTCAGATTTCCCATGTAATGGACTGCAGTCGGACAACTGCAGTCACAGAATTTTGTGCTTAAGAATATATCCTTAAGACAACCATGTGCTGTTATCCATACTTGGTTCACTCTGTTTCCGGATCATCAATCATTAGTTGATGAAGATTAATACGGTGCATGGCAATCATAGTTTGTGCCATGTCAATTCCTGTAATTTAAATTATTAAGCAATTCAACAAAAAGTTGATGCAGCTAGTTTACAGAGATCCTTTCTGTTATGAAGAAGACAAACCCCTGTCTGCCTGCTTTTATAATGTTTTATTTTGTGCCGCTGTTTCCCTTTGTTGTTTTCTTAGTTGCATGCCATCTCTCCTGCAACCCAGGTTCCTTCCCTCCTCCTAGTCCAGCCCTGTTCATGCCTTGTGGGTCAGGGATCCCACCTCAAGTCTTCATATTTTAAGCTCTAGGACACAGCCATGCTGCTGAATGAACCTGCACAAACAGAATCATTGGTTGGGGGCTGATGCTGTGGTGCTTCAGGTGAAGTTGACATTTGTGATGGCAGCATCCCATGTGGGCATCAATTCACGCTTCATCTGTTCTACTTCCAACGCAGCTCCTTGCTAGTGACCTGGAAAAGGTGGAAGAAGACAGCTCAAGTGTTTGGGACCCTGAAATACTTGCGGGAGATCCAGCGGAAGCTCTTGGCTCCTGGCTGTAGCCTGGCACAGACCTGGCTCAGCACTGGCCACTGTGGCTATCTGGGGAGTGAAGCAACAAATGGAAGATATCTCTCTTTCTCTTTCTCATTCTTCTCTCTATGCCTTTCCTTCTTCCTTTTCTCTCACACCCTCTTCCTGAAATTCTGCTTTTCAAATATGCCAAAAAAAAAAAAAAAACTTTTAAGAGAAAGAGAGAAAGAAATCCATTGATTTAAAAACACTCCTGAGAGCTCCAACCTACCCAACCAGTAAATGACAGAGCTGAGAGTCAGTCCCAAGTTTCCCACCTTACATTAGGTGCTTTTTTTGAATTCCTGATACCCACATGAGAGACCAGGAGGAGGCTCCTGGCTCCTGAATTTGGACAGGCCTGACTGTAGCTTTTTCAGCCTTTTAGTAAGGGAACAAGGAAGCTGGTTCAAATAAAGCAAGCAGGACTCAAACTGACACTACAAAATGAATGCTGGTGTTGCCAGCAGTGGCTTATATGCCATAACACCAGCCCCAACCTTCGCCTAAATTTAAAGTCATGTTAAGGGACATGAAAATTTAACATAATAACTATAATGATTCAGCATTCATCTATAAATCCCATATAATACCAGTTGCAATTCAATGATAATTGTTTTTGCAACATATATAAAATCTGACAAATTCTAAAATTCACGCAAAAGGCTTAAGTCAAGACAGGCTGACTAGCAGGGGACAAGTGAATAAATTTTTCATACTTTGCATACTCTTATATTTTTTTAAAAAATAATTTTATGTAGTCACTTGAAAATCAAATTGACAGGGCCCGGCGGCGTGGCCAAACAGCTAAAGTCATTGCCTTGAACGTGCCGGGGTCCCATATGGCCGCTGGTTCTAATCCCGTCAGCTCCGCTTCCCATCCAGCTCCCTGCTTGTAGCCTGGGAAAGCAGTCAAGGACGGCCCAAAGCTTTGGAACCCTGCACCCGTGTGGGATACCCGGAAGAAGTTCCTGGATCCTGGCTTCTGATCGGCATAGCATCAGCCCTTGTGCTCACTTGGGAAGTGAATCATCAGACAGAAGATCTTCCTCTCTGTGTCTCCTTCGCTCTGTACATCTGCCTTTCCAGTAAAATAAATAAATCTTTTTAAAAAAATAATTAAAAAAAAAGAAAATCAAACTGACAGAGAGAAAAAGAGAGTTCTTCCATTGGTCATGCCCCAAGTGGCTGCCAAGGCCATGCCTTGGGCCCAGCTGAGTTAGGAGCCTACAGCTTCCTCCAGGTCTCCCAAATGAGTGAAAGGGCCCCAATCGCAGGCACCACCTTCCACTGATTTTCCCAGGAACATTAGCAGGGAGCTGGTTAGGAGATGGAGCAACTGGGACTTGAACAAATGCCCTTACATTTCCTGCCATTACAGCAGGTGACACCCAGTTAAATATGAAAATCACATACATAATGAATGAGGCAAGAGCTAAGTCATTTTTTCAAACTGCTTATCTGAAATTCAAGTCTAACTGAGCTTCCTATATTTTAGCTGGTAGCACTGCAAGTGATCTTTCTCTCCGAACTAGTGTAAGAATCTCCTAAATTCTCACATTTCCAGTGAACTGGAAGGGATTAAGGGGGAAGAAAGCTGGGGTGGGAGAGGGAATGAGATAAGCCTGCCCACAAGCTCTACAGAAGTAGCACACTTTAGGGCTGCGTGAGGGTGGGGCACAGACTAAAAGATGGTTCTTGACCCTGACCTGTGACTTCCCTGTAGATAAAGAACACACCTTGATCAGATAGTTCTAACTGTAACCCAGGTGGCTTCAACGTGAACTTTGGCTCAGCTCATAAATGAAACTGCTTTCATTAAACAGGACTTGTATTTATAAGGTCCAACTCTTTTAATTCACGTCATGTGTGCTTAGTCAATGTTTTTGTAGCCCAATGGTTTACAAACAGTTTTTCTTTGAAAAATATAAGGGAGCTTTAAAAATAGCCAGCTTCTACTGCAAACAGAAATGCTTCTCTGATTGTGTTATCTGGCCTTAGCCCTGGATGGCTCCCACCCCCACACTTGTACCTTGACACCTGATAGCAACTCAACCTAATCTCTGCGTCAGAACCAAGGCCTTGTCAATTCACATCTGAAACCAAGTTTGTGCTACTTGTAGGGTGGAAGGCTGGTGTTCTTCTGCCCTGCCAGAGCAGGAGTCAAACCCAGAGCTGGCACTGGTGAGTAGGTGTGATGTGGCTGCCAGCAGCTCACAGTCTGACACCCAGCACCTCCAGGGCAAAAAGCTGTGTCCCATAGGCCAACAGATCCCATGGGCCCATGTCACAGACGGCCCACGTACCTTCCCAAATTACAGATTTTCCACTTCAGATTGTTAAAGCCAAGGTCGTTACTCATGACTGCTTTTCCATCCTGATGTCCTCTGCCTTTTCTGCAGTAGTTAGGACATAATAGTTCACTTTTCAGATGCTATTCTCAACCAAGTCATTTCCTGCAAGTTCTGTGTGTGCAGATGTGATAAACCCTGTGGCTATTTTGTTGTTGTGGTTGAAAAACATAAGCAATTTT